GCTCAAGCCCTGTTACAAAGAACTATTGGGCACAATGGGACCAGTTGAAGCTTGAAGATGGTATTCTTCTCTGGAGATGAGAAAGTAATGTCCTGACAAATAGTTATACCGAGAAAGTTACGGGAAGTTGTGCTGCGTCAATCCCATGATAGTTTAACAGGAGGACATCTTGGCGTTAAGAAGACATTGAGTCACCTACGACAGATATTTTACTGGATAGGTATGAGTTAAGATGTGGAAGAATGGTGCAGGACGTGCAACATATGTTGTGCTAAAAGTGGACCCAAGCATAAGGGACGTGCTCCAATGATGTTATATCAAGTTGGCACACCAATGGAAATAGTAGCCATTTACATTGCTGGTCCTTTGCCCCAAACTCGTGCTGGAAACAGGTACATTTTTGTGGTAATGGATTATTTCACCAAGTGGCCTGAGGCATATGCAATACCAAATCAGGAAGCTACAACTGTAGCTTTGGCTATTAGTGATTTCTTCTTCAGATTTGGTATGCCATATGAACTCCATTCAGATCAAGACCGTAACTTCGAAACAACTGTGTTCCAAGAATGCTGCAAGTTGTTTGGCATACGAAAAACCAGGACAACGTCACTTCATCCACAGTCTGATGGGATGGTAAAAAAGTACAATTGAAAACTGGGACAGGAATTGGCAAAGTTTTGTTATAGCTGCCAAAATGACTGGGATGTCTTACTCCCTCCACTGTTGATGGCCTATAGAACAGCAGAGCATGAAGCCACTGGATACACTTCAGCAAAGTTGATGTTTGGTCGGGAACTTCGGTTGCCAGTGGATCTGTTAACAGGACGCCCACCTTATGAAGAGTTTCCTGAGAATGTGTCAGAGTTTGTGAAAGTGTTATATGAAAGGATGGATGATATTCACCATCAAGTGCGTTCAAACTTAAAAAACATCTGCTGATTCGATGAAGTTATCTTATGATAAGAGATCTGCTGAAGTCAACTTTGTACCAGGAGACAAGGTGTGGTTGTATAATCCCAGGAAGACCAAAGGTAAGCCTCCTAAGTTGTCTTCT